AGAAAGGGATAAATGTGTACCTCTCTACCATCTGTACAGTCAAGTACCATCTATACTCAGCCTTCCTTGTGAATGTGTAAGAATTGTTTGAGATGCAAATTAACTTTTGGAAGGTGTGATGGTGAGAGTGGGAACAGATCCTTGGATAGGATCAAGGGATCAAGACTTTGGTCCAAGGAGAACAGGTGTAAGGGGAATGGACTCCGTTGTTAAAACAGGTGGTTCTGAGACAAGGACCCCCTCAGGGTCCTACAAGGACCTTCCCTGGGGGCAGCAGACTCGGTGGTGACAGGCACTACAAGACGCGGAGGTGGGCCTACTGCATGGTGGAACACAACTGCAATAGCAAGGGAGGACACAAGCGCTGATGGACAGTCAGTGAGGCATGGTCCCCAAGGACATCCCCACTTACTGAAGGACAGCAGCCTCCAAGCTCTAAAAGAGGAGCACTGAGCTGCCAGCAGGCTGTGGGAACGCACATGTCGGGGGAGGGGGGCGGGTCGAGGAACTTGGCAGGGGAGTGGGAGCCCAGCAGGAGTGGTACTCAAGCTAGGAGGAGGAGAGCGTATGAGAAGAATTTGTTAGTCATTTCCAAATAGCCAGGAGGCTTTTGTGCGGAGAAGAATTCATTTGCTTCTTTATTTTAATAACATAAATGTTTACTTGTCCTGTCTTTCTTCCAAAACATTTTGAAATTACTAAACAATATTCCAAATTGATAGGTGTAAGTTCAGAAATCAGAACTAAGGAAAATGGTGCCCACTATTAGTAATCTGCTGGGCTGCAGAGCAGTGTACCACCTTGCCAGGGCAGGTGGTGGCCTCCCCTCCCTGGGAGTTTGCAAGGCAAGGTGGCCAGAAGGGACTTGAATACACACAGGTGTACACACTTGCAGAGGCTTTAGAGAGCTGATTCTGTTGGCCTGAAAGGACATCTTCCAGTGCAATTTCAGTACACATTTATTTAAATTTGATAATTCTCATATGTGTATATATGTATATTATATGTTTTCTTCTCTAAGCATTTTTTTCATGACAAACACAATATACACACTTCTAACAAAGCTCCTGGCTCTAGCCCAAGTCTGTTGGGGTAAGGCTACCTTTTGAAAATACAGCTGCTCAGATCATCTTTCTGCAATACACAGTGAGTATAAGTCTGTTAAACGCTTTGCAGAGGTCTTGGGAAGAAGCCTCAAAACAGGCTGAACAGGAAATGCACAGCCGCGCCTTTGAGGCTGCAGTCGCCTGCTCTCTGGGCCACTCGTCTCCGCCACTGGAGCTCCTGTTAGTCCCATTCCCCACTGTCTCTGCACAGACTTGACCGCCCTGAGCTACTCCTCAGCCCCAGGAGGAGGGAGGGCACCCTAAGAGATGAGATGACATGACGGACACCACCAGTAGCGGCATTTTACATCTCAGCAAAAGAATTCAGGCTCGAGGAAAAGGAAGGAGGAATGAAACTTGGCCCCTTGCTACCCACCTAGTCTGGAACAGATCAAACAGATTTGAAGTTACAGCCATCGGACTTGCCCTGTAGTCTTTAAAGTCATGGCCGGAATACGGACTTTGCTGTTTCCCCCAGCATCACATTTGCAAACTCAGGAAAAGAGATGGCCTTCCATGGGGCAGCCTTCCCTGGCCTGCCCTGCACGTTAGCATTTCTTTCCATTAGCTGCTGTACACGCCGCTGTGCTGTCATTCACCCTATCCCATCTGTCCTCTGGAGGCAAAGTAGCAGAACGTGTGGCACAGGCTCCCAGCTCACATCCCAGCTCTGTTATGTCTCAGCCTGTGGCACAGGCAGTGCACCCACTGGCACAGCTGGCAAGATCAGAGCCTGCTTCCAGATGCACACAAGGCCCCAAGAGAAGCTAGCGACTATGATGATGATGGCACAGTGAGCTCTGGGCCTGACCTGCTGGAGGTCAAGTTCCTGGTTTATTCCAGTGCTCCATGGTCAGCCTCGCCATCTTAGCCTTTCTGGCTGTAAAGTGGGGACCATCACAGTCTCCATCTGAAGGGTTGCTGTGAGGGGGATGCAGAGAAAGCATCTTACCTCACAACACTCAGGAGAATTGCACACAGGGATCTGAGCTTTCCAGAGTGGTCACTCATGCAGCTCTGCTCTCTAAGCACCACACCGGGGCTGGTGCCTAATAAAGACCCTGAACCTACAGACCTGACTCTTTCGCTAACAATCCCCCTCACTCTTCCTTCCCCAAATGCATACACACACACACACACACACACACACACACACACATACACACACACCATGCAAGCATAAACCCTCACACACAATATGCACCAAGCACACACATGTAAACATGACACAGATACAGCACCACTGTACCATACCCCACCCCATACAGGCAAGTGCACAAACACCATGCTCTTATATACAGCACAAACCTCAGGCACACTCATACATATTTCACATACATATTAAATCTATGTATACATACAAAATGTATATATGCAACAAATACACACACACACACACACACACACACTCTCAGCTGTTCTGCTAAGCTGAGGGACAGGTGATTCAGCTTCCAGAACCTGTTGCCACAAGCCGGAGGCTTCCCATCAGCTGAGACCACCTCCCTGGAAAGGCATGCAGGGTGAGTTCTACATTTGCATTTTGGCCAAGGAAAAGGGTGTGGAGTTACACTTTTCCCCCTCTTCAGATTGCTAAATAACACATGCACTCAGGCCCAAAACCCATGTCTCCAAACAGAGGCGTAGGTGAGGCCAGCTATTCTTTCCAATTTCCCACAGGGCCCTGACAGGTGCCAGTCACAGTTCAGGAGTGTTTCCTCCCAAGTAGTAAGCAGACAGAAGAGGGAGCACCTCTACCTGTGTTCAAGAAGCACAGGGTGCCCAGCTGGAGGTGCACGGGGGTGGGGTGGGGGAGGTTTTCCTGGTAGTGGGTTTGAAACATTGCTAGATGTTGTGAACTCCTGGATTCCTGCTCTTCATGCTTATCAGTAGGCACAAACCTCAGAGTTCCTTTAGCAGCCGATCTGAGGTGAGCTTATAAATACACTTTTAATAAAGTCAACCTAATGGTTCTGGTGCAGTGGGGGAGGAGGACAATGCATGAAGAAACACTGGAATATCATATCTCATAGGTGAGAAACTTGATAATGAAATACTTCCTGGTAGTCAGCCACAAGACTGAGAGGAACCCTTCGCCCTTCTTGCTTTGAGCCCAGGCTGTGAAACATATTAGACATGTCCATTGATTCTTTTTGCCTTTAGATTGCCAAACATTTCAGAGTCAGGAGACACTGAATGTCTGGGAGGCAGCCAGCCCTTCTGTGGTCACCATCACTTTCTCTCTTAGAGAGTCAGTTTCCCCAGCGCAGGGCCTTTCTTGGGCATGAAGTCCACTGCTTATCACTACTTCCCAACCGACCTAAGTAATTCAGGTGCACAGCCCTCAGGGAGGAGGAGGAAATGAGATTTCTTAGCCAAATCCTTCTGTGCTTTGCCCTCCTCAGCAGTCAAGCTGCTTCTCCAAAATCATCTGCCCCACTCCTTCGCAGACTTCCTCATCACACAAACCAGCTCTCAGGAAACTCCAGCCCACAGGGCAGGCCTGGTCTGCTATCTGTTGTAAATAAAGTTTTATGGGAAAACAGCCATGCACATTTGTTTGTACATTATCTGTGACTAGTTTTGTGCAAAAAAAAAAAAAAATGACTGAGTTGCAATACAGACCATATGGGCTGAAAATCCTAAAATATTTTTATCTGGTCTTCTACAGAAAATCTCCATCATTCCTTGGGTTAGATTGTCACATGGGGGCAATCTCTGGGCCCATGCAGCATAAGCCGCAAACCGAACTTGAGCAGAGGAAGTTCCACACAGTGACTTAATGTATCCCATTCTGCCCCTCGCCAGCCCATGGGGTACCCTTTCTTGGGAGGTCACAGCCACCTCTTAAAGCTGACCTTGCTAAACTGTCTTGGTCATTGCAGGGGCTTAAGTAGTGTGCTAGGGGAAGTTGTGTTCAGTGCATTGCTGTTTTACTTCATGGGTCTTGCCATAGTCTACTGTGTAAAAGTGTAGTTTAAACTTGATAAGCACCACCAGGCATCTTCTTCCTTCTTCACCCTTACCTACTATTAAATGTGTTTAGTTTGACCCATGTTTGCATGCCTATCTTTCCTTTCAGGCTCCAGCATCTTGATGAAAGCAAGCCTGAAAGGGTCGGGCCCAGCGCTAAGGGAATTTTCCAGATGCAGATTCTTCTCCACTCATGCCTGTGTTGTTGCCTAGCAACAACTTGAGAGGGGCCAGAAAGATTCCAGAAGCTCAAGGACTTAGCATAAAGTGGCCTGTGAGCCATTGTTGATGAAGGATCCTTGCATTACGCCCTTCACTGCACCTCTCCACTTCACACACACTTGTACATTCACATACCCTTTGGCCACTCAAAGAACTTCATGGTAGAAAGGAATTTGGCATATAAACCCTTTACCACGAATTTTTGCTGAAGACAAAAACAAAGGATGACAAGAGACCGTCATCACGATGTGTGCTCCTGTAGGAGATGTAATTTCAAGAAGACTGTCCCAATGCTTAAATTCATGAGGTTTGCAATTAAAGCACCTGGGCTTAATAAATATCACTGTCTCCTCTATAGAGCTGTTGTATGGATCAAATAAAAACTTTTATTCATGGTGGGTGGTGCTTTATGAAGACTTTATTGCAATTAATGACGATGTTATTATTTCCAGAAACAATTAAGTTACTACAATTAAATTCTTATAAGATATGAAAAGTCAGAAGAGAATTTGGAAAGTGGTAAATCAGTTGATGTCCCTACTTAATGGCTTCTTGTCATTAAGGCCCTTTATTCTGTAAGTTGTAGTTCACCCTCTGACTTTGGCCACAAAATATTCGTTGCTTTGGTCACCAAGATGCTAATAAACACACCATAGAAGAGGCTTGGAAAGTTCTCAAATATCCTTGCTTCCCCTCTTGCAGGACTGGGTTTACTTGGGAGTGGAGTTCTGCAAACTACATAGGACCACGTCTGAATCATCCTGCTGGAGGAGGAAAGACCAGGCAGAGCTGAGTTATCAGTCAAGGTTATCCTGGATCACTGCATCCTTGAACATGCAAGATAAAAGGTCAGTCAAGATCAGCAGAGCTGTTTACAAATGCATGTGGTTCCAGTCTGATCAGCCAGGCTCAGTTCGGATCAGATCTTCCCGAGCAATCTGTAACTGCATGGGAAATAATACAAGGCTGATACTAAAGCCAAGGACATATGGAATGATTTGTTGTACAGCAATATGTAACTGACTGTTTAAAAAAGCATACACTATTCAGAGCTGGTAGATGATTAGTCCATGAGAGGATATTAAATTTACAATGTTCTAGGGCAATCAGGTGTATTCTATACAACTGCACCACTATACAAATGGTGGTGGTTTGGAAGCTCAGAGAAGAAAATTATGTTCAAATTAGCAGTTGCTTCCTTTGTCAATCAACATAGCAGCCCAGGTCAGGGAAATGGCTGATTACTAAACAAAACAACTGCTAACAATTTAAATTGAGACAGTATTGTGATGTATCCTCGTTGCTTATAGAACAGAGTCACCTAGAAAGGGCACAGCTAACTCTGGCTAAAAATAGTTCAACTAAAGTTACAACTTTGGCAGGAAAGTATTCACCAAATAAGTGGCTTTCTTTTTCTATAGACATCAGTGACTTCCCGAATGCCTGTGTCAGCTTGTTGGTGACAAGAGATGCTGAATGAGACACTATTATGGCTTAAAGTATTACAGGAGACAAAATTAGTTCACAAAGATTGAACGGAAAAGCAGAAAGAGAAGACCACAAGTGAGAAGGAAGCTGTCACCAGTTTTGATGCTGTCTTTGTAGACAACTCCCCACTGAGTGACAGAACTGATGAGCTCCGCACTCCCTAGGAAGAACCCAAGTGTTCCAGGCAATGAAAAATCAAAGCAACTGAAGAGCTGCAAATGCTCTCCAGCCATCAGCCTGCAGCACAGTTGTGAGGTGCAGATTATTATGCAAGCTGGTAGGCAAAACATGATGAGGAATTGGAGTTAACTTTGGGGATGTGCAGGTGTTTGCCATTCATTCATTTACTCATGCAAGTCTGTTGTAAGATGGATCAAGAGCCACAAGTGTGATATCAAATTCGCACTCACGCAGCCAGCCATTCATCCATTCACTTAAGATATTTATTGAGATAATGCACTGCACACTAGAAAAACAAACATGAAAAAGAACATGATCCCTGTGTTCCAGAAAAAATAGGGTAGATGAAAGAGACATAGAGGGAAGCTAGCACTTACAATAATGGGAGCCATCAGAAAGGAGCTGGGGGGGGTACTGCTTTTTCCTGTCAAATTCTGCATGCATGGAGAAGCACAAGGGAGATATGTGAGCAGCAACACATCAGCTCAGGAGAAAAATGAGATTGGAGGATGTGATATCAGTTCTGCCACCCAGAAGCCTACTTGCAACACATCAGCCAAAACATACTCTCCCAGCCTCTGCACAGTGGGACAGCCAGATCCACCCCACAGCCACAGGGACAAGCTCTTACATCTGGTAGAGGGCAGAGCAGAACACCTATCTCTTGCAGATGGTCAAGGCTGGAAAGAGGCTAGAAAGAAGAAAGAGAAGAAGTAGCCAAGGTAAACTCAGTCAGCCCCTTCTCCCAGTCCATGCATTGATGCCTTACTCTCCCTCCTGTGAGGAGGAGCGGAGGAGGGATAGAGAGGCTGGGTGCAGTAATCATCCATTCCTGCCTTATTACAGGAATAGAAAGCTACACTGTGTGAAGACTTTTTCCCTAAAGTTTTGGTGTAGCACAGAAGAAAGCCCTGCCTGATCTAGACCTGAGGATAAACGCAGGTTTCACTTAGGAGGTCACACGTACTAATGGCTGAAGAAGAGCAGCACAGGAAAGAAAACAGAGTGTTATTAGCTTTCATAAAGGAAATTAACCAAGAATTGGTTTACAAACAGGTAGCATCTAAAGGAGATGAGGACTAGTAGGTGTATTGCAACAAGCAGAAAGGCTTGGCAAACTCATTGAAGAGAGGAAAGGCTATTACTTGCCATATCGTGATAAGAAGGCCTACAGGCAAGACTTTGGCACACATAGGCAAAGGCAAGGACTTTCTTAGCAGAACCCCAAGTGCACAAGAGATAACATCAACAATCAATAAATTGGATTGTTTCAAATTAAAAAAAGCTTCTGCATAGCAAAGGAAGCAACCAACAGAGTGAAGTGACAAATTATCTTTTCCATGGGTGTCCCAGCCAGAGGACTAAGAGCTAGAATAAATAAAAAATGAAAAATATTAGATTTCAGAAGAAAAAGACACAATTAAAAAATGGGCAACAGAAATAAAGAGACACTTCTCAGAGGAAGAGGTACAGATAGTCAATTAATAAATGCAAAATAGTTTAACATCTCTGGCCATTAGGAAAATAGAAATTAAACCAACAGTGAAATTCTATCTTAATCTATAAAGAATGGTTATCATCAAGAAGTCAAATAATAACAAATGCTGACGTGGCTTCTGGGAAATACAAACCCTTCCACATTGTTAGTAGGAATGTAAAGTAGTACAACCCTGATGGAAATCAGTATGGAAATTCCTCAAAAAAAACTAAAACTAGAAATTATATTTCCCTTCCAGCTATCTTTCTGAAAGACTTAAAGACATTATATTACAGTGATATATGTGCACCAACATTTATAGCAACATTATTCATGACAGTTAAATCTTGGAAATTTGTCTATTTGTTTATGAACAGATAAATGGAAAAAGAAAATATGGTATCACACACATAAAGAAAATGTGGCATTATATACAACTAAGTAATAGTAGGCCATAAAAAAGGGTAAATTTGAGTCATTCCCAAGAAAATGGTTGCACCTTGAGACCATAACAGTAAGTGAAATAAATCAGGCTCACAAGCCTAAGTATTGTCTGGTTTATCTCATTTATGAGAAACCCAATGTCTTCATTGCTTTTCTCATTGATGAGACAAAATACTCAACACCCAAAGTTAAAGGAGGAAAGGATTATTTCAGCTCATGGTTTATAGAGGTTTTAGTGCATAGTTCCCTGGTTCCAAGTCAGGGTGTCACGGCAGAGAGGCATCTCAGAGGAGAAACAGTCCATGGCAAGTATGCAAGAGACAGAAAAGCAGCAAACAGCAGCAGCCTACCTCTCTCTTCTATCCCTTTTAGGCTAACCACCTTTCAGATGGTGCCACTCACAGCTAGGATGGGCCTTTCCATTATGCACATCCAAAGCTATGTTAAACTGATCAGTAGACTAATTTGTAATCACACACCATTAATCCTAGCATCTCACACCCTAGACATGGCCACCTCTGAAAGATCTGACCTATGACCCCATGAGGCTTTAGGGGGACATCTAAATACAAGTTGTAATACCTGAATGTAAACAAAGAGCAAAATAAAAGGTAGGTAGTAGAAAATTTGAAGATAGATCTTTTGCAAAAGGAAAAGGGATCAAGAGACAGAGAGGGGAGTGAAAGACGGGGAAGGGAATGATAAAATAATTAAGATGTGTAAAGTACATACAGCAACTGCCCGTGAAGAATGTAATCATTAGTACTGCTAATTTGTACTGATATAAATAAAACAGCATGAAGACCAAGTTCATCAAATCTATGGAGAATGTGCGAGAGCACAGGGAAGATAAGTCGTCTACAGCTAGTTATGAAAGCATCTGGGATACCAGGCTGCTAAAATGGACTATGAACCCATTCCCTCTGTCTAGGACAGTAAGAGTGAGGAGGTCCTCATATGAGACCAAGAATGAAGGATAGATTAACAGAGATGATGAGGCCTCATGGAGATCAAGAAGGGCATTCTAAGAGAATCAGCAAGGACTGTATTGGTGAATGAAGAACCCTACATGATAGGAAGGTTGTTCAGGAAAGGGTGTTTTGAGAAGAAGAGCTACTGAAAAAATTCACTTCTCTGAATGCCTAGTTTAAGAAACCAGCCTTCCCCTAAGGAAATATGAATCAGACAGTTAGGAAATGAGGCAAAAAAAGAATGAAGTGTTGAGTGTAGATTTATAGATTATGACTAAATTCTGAATGTTAGTGAAATTACACAAGCACACAAAGTAATGAAGAGGAGAGGAAAGAAGGAAGGAGGGAACTGACATTGTGTAAACATCTCATTTGCAGCAATATGAAAACTCTTCAAAAAATAGAAGATGTAGCTAGCATGGCAGTTTTTCAAAGCATAGTGTAACTGAAGTGATAGACATTTTCCTTTTTGTTTTATATTTTAGATACATTTTCTTGAAAGACTATATTACACTTGGTGCATCCTCAATTTTAATTCTTACTTCCTTTATTTTGACTTCTAACCTGCAAAGTGGGAAGGAAAATGGTCACTAGCATTCAGTGACTGAAAATCTGAATATTTGAGAATGAAAATAATATTTGTGGATACCCATCAATTGATTTCACCTTAATGGGGCCAGGGATTTAGCTCAGTGGTTCTGCTGCCTGCCTCGAAAGCACAAGGTCCTGAATTTGATTCCTGGTACAAAA